GCTGATATTATCACACTGTGATGATAAATGTGTTTGTCCAGTTATTTTCCTCTTTGATGTGGATCTCTCTGTCCCTGGAGCAGAGGCTTCCATGGAAGCAAGCCTTCCTCCTAGATGTCCTGCGATGAGGCTTTGGCAGAACCACTGCCAATCCTGCATTTAATTCTCCTAAAATCATTTTGTCAGTGTAGAGATGCTTAAAGCATCTAAAGGTTATGAGGTAGCCACATTGGTGCCAGATATCTGAGAGAAATGTTTGCACATTTGTAGGAAGATATTTTTGTTATGTTATGCCAAGTGGTCTTTTAGAGAAGGCAGATCTAAACAAGACAAATTAAAAAAAAAAAAAACTTTAAAGTTTTTAGTTCATGTACCATGTCACCAAGGTCAGTGTGGCTTGCTCACCCTTGCATTAATGAAAATTGCTTTCATTAAGGGTTGGAACAGAAGAAAAATAACAGGGTGTTGGACTCTTCAGTAATGATCGCATGCTCCCTGTTCTGAGGTGGCCCACCATGCTCACTTTGAAGGTGGGAAATCTGATGATCAGAAAAAAACATCAAAACATCATCAGCTCAAGTGTAGTCCCTCCTAGACCAAGGTGCGTCTCACCCAGGGCAGCAACTGGGATGTAGAACTCTGACACAGTGGGCTAAGGGGCCATCCTAACAACCCAGTACATTCACTAGTGATATACTTAGGTCTGGACAAGGCCAACTTAACTAAGTCACAGGATATGCCTCTTGGCACTTAAAAGAGGTAGTAGTGGCTAGGATTTGCCCCCTGTATCCCTCTGCTTCTTAGCATTTCCCGAAGCATCACCAGCCCTTCAATATATGCCAAGGAAAAAAACTTTCAGTGGTGAAACAAATTTGGAAGATGCCACATACTCCGTCTCTCCTTAGCTACTTACCATGCATACTGGAATATTGAAGGCTTGCACCATGTTTTGCAATGAAGAAGCCATTTAACTTTCTTTAATCGGGTGCTTGCCAAGTCATCTGATCATGGAACCATTTATTTATGTAAAACCTGTAAGTTGCACACAACACATTTTGAGAATTGAGAAATGCTGTCAAAATCTGCCTAAGTTGAAGAGAGATATTGAAGAACAATGTATATACTGAAAAAGAATTTAGATCAAGTTCATAGATGGTCGAGCAAGACTGCAGAGATATCCCTATAGACACTTGTGTGACAGTCCTTAGAATCACCCACAAAAGATTCCTTGTGGCTATTGGCAGGGATGGAACAGTACTCCGGGCTAGCCAGGCTTTTCGTTCATTAGGTTCTTTCTTAATTGTGAGGGTGTAGATGACTGTGTGTGTGTGTGTGTGTGTGTGTGTCCTGGATAATCAGATGGCTTAAAAAAGAAAAAAAGAATTGAGAAAAGAGTCAGAATGCAGGAAGGGTTTTTGGCCTTTCTCATGGATTTGTGATGTGACCTCTCTCAGTTCCATTCCTCCACTGGTCAGGATGCATAGCCCTGCATCCCTCTGTCATCAGGCAGGCCCTTAGGACCCAGCAGGCTTCCCTGGACACTTGGGACCTCAGCAAATGCTGTCTGAAGGTGAAGGGGGGCGAGGAGGAGGTTGTCAGGCTGATGACATAATGTCTAAGTGTTTGTCACCTCGGGAGGAGCAGAGTGTTGGGTACAAAGGGCCATGTCACTGCTGAGGGAGATGTGAACGGACTGTCCGACTCCCTACAGCAGCCTGACTAGCTGTGCAGGATGCTGGTAGTTACATGTTCCTATAACAAAGACCCTTTGGTTTTATAACGGAAACTACCGTGAGCTAGCTTAAGAAAAAAAGGTACTTTGGGTAGATATTTGAGCATGCAATGGAATTTAAACAATGTGAACAGCCAATCTTAAGAAAGTTCAGAAGATGACAGCTCAAGGGATATGTCTGTAACTTCAGGCTCTGTGAGTCTTAGCTCTCGTTTGGGGTAAATGTCCACTCTCGTCCATTTAGATAGGACACCTCTGTTTGTTCAGGAGAGAGTGGCAATGCCTTGATCTCAAGCCCTCTCTTCAGTTCCAGGGGATGAATCGTGACAGTCTCAAATAGTTATTTAATTTCCTGTTGTCAGTAACTAGCCTAGGGGCGGCCATGTGACCCTGGACAAATGTAGGAGCTATAAATAGGAGGAGGGTGGATATGGATGCTGGGAAAGCTTTTGTCTTCTCAATAAAAAGGAATGACAGAATCATTGGGCATGGCTCTTTCTTCCTTTGCTTTGCCCCTTCTCCGGCATTCAGACATGATGCCCAGTGACGCAAAAGCCATGTTGGGACCTTGACGTGACAAGCACCAGAAGAAAGTTGTGTGCTAGGAACAGAGGGTGCAAAGGAGAAAGAGCAAGGTCCTTCTGTGGTCGAGCCTGGACCGAACACCTCCTGATTTGTACATATTGAGAAGAATGATACCCTGGTTCTTGAAATCACAGTGCACTATATATAATATACTTGCAACCAAAATCATTTCTAGGTGAAAAGTTATGTGGTATAAATACAGATGTCGGGAGCCAGCCCCGACGATCAGAGTGGGAGTCTCAGATCTTTAATGGGGTGGTGTTCAAAAGTGTCTATGAAAGCCACCTTGGTGCCTTGAGATCTCACCAAACCCTCTCTGTGCCAGTCCACACCTGTCCTGGATAGAATTAATCAACTCGTTAAACAACTACTTGCACTAATTTTATTGATCCCTTGTTCTCTGCTAGATATTTTTTTCTGGGGCTTGGGATAGACTGGAGAAGACAGAGAAAATGCTCTCATTTCCCTCCAGGGAGAGTAGACAATAAACAATAATAAATGAAGTGAATAATCTGAGATAATGAGGAGTTCTGTGTGCGATAGGAAAGGAGCATTGTGATGGGGAGTTGTGGGAGGTGTGCATGTGGCCTGTGACGGTGATAGTTGACATGAGCGTTGAGTGACAGAAGGGAGCCAGCTGTGGTAGACAAGGCCTGGGCTTCTGGGGAGGGCTGGGGAGGGCTGGGCAGGCAGGAGCATGGCTGGCTAGAGACACAGAATGAATCATTAATGGGCGTCCACTGCGAAAGGATGCGGGAGGCTGGTCATGCTCATCTCGTAACCGTTCCGGACACTTGGCTCATGGGCTCGTGATGTATCTCGAGGATACTGACAGGGCTTCCTGTTGCGCAGGTGACTTTTCCTATCCTCTGCTTCAGGCTGTGAGAGCCCAGGGAATGGGACGGCTTGGGCAGATCTGCGCGTAATAGACGGTGGTCAGGGTGCTGGACCCCCTTTCCCTTCGAGAATGGACCCATCGTGTTCAGCCACAGCACTGAGGCTCCCCAGGGATCTGGCTTCCTTTGGAATGGCGTCAGGTCCATTCTGGAAGGACTGACAGAGCGTTCAGCAGGCTCCCAGCTGCTTCGGCACCACGCCCCTGTCACCCGCTTGAGTTGAGGTCCCCACACTGAAGTCTGGCTGTACTCCTGGGCTATGACTCCCAGCCTGTCATGACTGGTCATCTCAAGTGATACTTATCAGTGAAGCGGGCACATGAGGTCACAAGGCTAGAAACTCCCTCAAAAGTCCTCCTGCCCTGCATTCCCTCATGTATCTGGCATTACCCAGAACAAAAGTGTGGGATTCCCCCACCCTGACTTTGAGCATGTAGCTGCTGAAGCAGGTATTCACCTAGTTCCAGTAGAGAATCCAGTTTTCTTTTCCCTAACACTTGAAGTTGGGGGGCAGTTAGAACCACTGTAATTATATCCCTGGGCTGTTAGATTGCCTCTGGGGTCCTGTGTCATGAATGGGACCCCAGAAATGTGATGAGTGTTCACCTTAGGAGGGCAACCTGGCCTGAAAATACCCAAACTACCATTTCAAAACCCTGGTTCGCTTCTCCTGGATCTGGAACCAAACCAACCACAAAATATCAAAATTGGAAGACACTCCGGTGTTAATACCCCTCCTCTTATAGACAGGGGAAAGGGGGAAGTGCACTGACCAAGGTTAGTATTCACAATACAGAGAAAGTCTCTTTGGGATCCACATGGATCTTTCGCAGATGTTTACAGCATTTTGTTGTAACGTGCTGCCTTGACTTATGGAGCAAAGAAAAAAAAAAAACGTATCACCGGTGTGTATAAAGTTCTTTCTTCCTCTGTCTGGTTTGAATCACCATCCTATGTAATGGGCATTCATTTTTCTCATTTAACAGACAAGGAAAGTGAAGGAAATGAATCCATTTAGTAAGTGGCAAAACCGAACTCAAGCTTAGGCCTTCCCGTTTTTATTTGATAGCATTCCCAAGTCCATCTCCGCTTTTGTCCTCTGGGGTTTTGGGGCAAAGCAGAAATTAGCCGTAACTTAGGCAGGGTGGTGTCCACAGCAGGTGTCCTTGGGTGCTAGGACCTCTAAGGAGCGGATTCTGATTTTTAGCGAACCGCTCTCACCTCTTAGAGCCCCTCTATCTGAGGCAGGGTCCCCATGGATCCTAACGTGACTCGATGCTGTCAGCTACTTACTTTAAATGCCACCTCCTCCGGGACACAATGGCACATAAAAGCCCAGGCCGTTAGAACCTCCAGCTCTGTCCAAATCCTGGCTCCAGCCCTCACTCCAGGTGACCTGAGACATCTATCACTTAACCTTGCGCTGTCTCAATGTTCCTATCTGTAAAATGGGGCCAGCTCTAGTACCTTCCTGGGAAGATGGTTGCAGACTAGAAGAGGTAAAGCATTCAGAAGAGGAAACACTCAGTAAATGTCACTGGCTGCTTTGTTTGCTCTCCACACAACGGAAGGAATTCTGTCACAGATCTGAGTTTTCTCCAGCGGTACGAAAAGATGATGTTCACAGTTCCTGAAGACTGGTAGGCGTCCCAGGGTGAGAAGTATATAAAGATGCACTCACGTACAGTTCACAGCTTGACTCCGGAGAGTGAGCTCTTGCAGAGCTTCTACTACAAGGGTATCTTCTTCTCTGTCACTGTCTCCCCTCCAGCAGCAGAAGGCTTTGGCTCACCCACCTGAGAAGCTAAAGCTTGCCTGGAAGTTATGCCTCCAGAAAAAAAGAGGAGTCAGAGCCTCTCATGTAACTTGAAGAGTATGAAAGATCCACTGATAAAAACCACTGCCCCGAACTTTTCCAAAGCACAAAAATTCCCTGCCGACGATTCTCCAGTCCTTGGCAAGGTAACCTTTGTCTGGTTTTTGTAGACTAGGAAAAAAGTTAATGAACCCACTCCCATTAGGTTGTGTATTTGTGCTGAAAGGCTATGAAAAAGGCTACTATTTCAACTGAGTCCTGTCATCTAAAATACGCCCCATGTTTGTTTTATAGTTTCTCAGCGATATTCTGACTTTAATTTGATCACTTCCTGTGAATTTGTGTAGTCCCTCGAGCAAAACCGATTCTCCCTCTCCCCTCTCTCTCTCTCCTTTTTTTTTGCCTCTGATTTTTTGTTTAGATCATCTCTCTCCTGACCTTTCAGTGGCTCAGCACTTCTTTTTTCTTCTTCTTCTTTATTTGCCGTGCACAAGCGAGGCTGGAAAACAGAGCCAAAACACAAACTGTGAAGCAACAGTTCACCCTCACAGAGCTAGTGGGCTTTGTGCTCTTTCTGGCTAGAGCAGATGTGGCCTCGGTGGGCTGTGGGGAACAATATCCCTCAGGTAAAAATAAATGATTAAGATTAGGACCAAAATGATACAAATCCTTCATTTCCAAACAGATCATGAACTGGGAGCTGTGTGGAAAGACGACTGGATTGGGAATCGTCAGGGTCCTGCCCTGGATTTCTTCCAGATTACTCTACCAATCAGCCATCTGGTCTCGGTGAGTACACGTGACTTAGACATACATTTTTTAATCAACAACAACAACAACAAAATAGGGCAAATGCAGTAACAAAACTCAATGCCACCAATGAGTTATAGGCAACAGTCCTAACATTTTGACCAGCTCACTGCAGACCTAGTTGAGTACTTGGTGGATTTCTCCTTGATCCCATTTCCCTTCCTCCCACCCCAGAGACAGACACTGTCCCAAACCTTCATACTTTCATACTTCTTCTCTGGACACCTGCGTCTTTCAACAGTAAGTATGGCCATCCTGCATGTTTTTAAACTTGAAGTAAATGGAAGCACACTGTATGTTCTGTTTTTTTTTTTTTTTTTTTTTTTTCAATTGAGCATTAGATTTCAGCAACATAGGTCTGGCCCATTCGTTTTAACTGCTCCGTGGTATAATGTTTCATGGACAGACCACCAAATGTTTTATCTATCCTACTGTTGATGAACAATTAGGTTGCTTCTAATTTTACACTATTATAAACAATGCTTCAGTGAGTGTTCTTATACATTTCCTATAGTAACATGCAAAAGTTTCTCTAAGATAGCATTTTTTTCAAACTGTTTTGTCTATACCCACCATTAAAGGTACACTTTACACGGACACCCAGCATGTGGGTTACAATTATGTGTGTACACATAGATGTGGAATAAAAGTTTCTCAAAATAATACCCTTATTTTCTATTTAGTTACAATCAGTTTAGTGTGGTCTGGAAAAAAAAAATTGCTTGTTACAATGTACTGAAGTGATCCTCTGACCCATCTCCATGAAGAATTGGATAAACACTGTTCTGGGACACGTGGAATTGCTGGGTCATACGTTATACCCAGTTTCAAATTGAGGAATTTATGTCTTTGTGAGTTCATGTCAGGCACTGAAATGGGTAGTTGCACTGAGCTAGCATTCTAGCTAAAGAAGGCGGCCTTCTAGCATTCTACAAGGAGGCTTTTAGGTCATTTCCTGTGTTCTGTGGCTGGAAATGGAAGTCCTGTTTTAAATTTCTGGGCTTTAACTTTTCACCTGTCACAAGATGCCAAAACAAAACAGAAAACATACTAGACTTCACAGTATTTTGCAGACTGCTTTCTCTTCAACTCCCGGGTCCTGGGGAAGACTTCGGGGTCTGCCACAAAGTGTGTAAGTTGGGGGTGGGGTTAGAGCAGGGAAGGGGACAGAATGAGTAGATGGAATCCTGGGCTTTTCCCCAGAGTTCCTTCCAGAGGATTCCAAGTTAATATTTCTCCATTGTATTTCCATTTAATTTGTAAAAAAAAAAAAAAAGTGTGCAGCTTGAAAATATTCATAAACTATGGGTTTAGATGTTCTCCAAGGCTCTTTCCAGATCTAAACTTCAATGAAAATAACTTTTGAGTCTCTGGACATTTAAACTTGCAGCCAGAACCAAAGAATGTGGAGGTTAGGGGGGTAGGGTTCTGGCAAGCAGGGCTGGCCCACCTAAGAGTCGGCCTGTCCCTCCCGCCACGGTGGGAGCTGACATGGACAGGGGGCTCTCAGTCCAGAAGGGCAGTGAGCTTGGGATACTCTCCAGCTGGGGCCACCACCTTGGGGACAGCCATTTCTGTTCTGTCCTATGGGCTTTATCCACATGAGGCTGCTCTAAAAAATCATTGTTTTCATCGTGCTTGTTTATTCTGTGAGTAAGGACCTAATATACATTTTTCTGAGTGTCATTTCTGCCCCCACAGACCGTTCCACGTGCTCACAGTGAAGCTTATTTGCTCAGCAGGGTACACACACAGTTAAACCATTCTATTCACAGAGATGAAATTTTATTATCAGTTTAATGAAACTATTCAGCTCCTCTCAGGTTTATTTTTGCCTTCCCAAATATAGTAAGGTCATAAAAAGGAGAAAAAAAAACTGGTAGTGAGTTGGTAGTAAAGTGACTTCGGGGTGGACAGATGTTAATTTATGTGGAATCGTGGATTCCTTCCTTAATAGGCTTGCTTTCTGTCTTGCTCTCTGCACCTCCCCGGGCCTGGATGCCTGCCTCCTCTCAGATTGCAGCCCTTCCGTTCAATTTGTCCTGCTTGCACTTCATCCTCCTTAATCACTGTTTTCATCACATCACTCCCAGGCTCAGAAACCCTCCAGGGATCTTCATTTCCCACCATGCGAAGTCCAAATGCGGCTGCCTGTTTCCGAGGCTTCTCCTAATCTATTCTTTCCTTACCTCTCTGGCTTTATTTCCTTTGCCAGATGTGGTTCTGGTTCCTGTAGCTTAGAGATAATGGAATTTTTGTACACACATCACCACCCATCCCCTCACAACCCCCACCAAATTTGAAATCTGCTTCATTTAAAATGATTTTATTTATTTATTTGAGAGAGAGCACGAGGCAGGAGGGGCAGAGGGAGAGGGAGAAGAGACTCCCCAATGAGCAGGGAGCCTGACATGGGGCTCGATCCCAGGACCCTGGGATCATGACATGAGCTGAAGGCAGATGCTTAACCGACTGAGCCACCCAGGCGCCCCTGCATCATTTTTCTTAAGTTCAGCCTAGTTGCCTTAAACAAGAGCACACATACCAGCAAGGATTACTTCCCTTGCCCATAGGCGAGTCACTTGCCCAGCGGGGCTGCAGGACTCTCTGGAGACAGAGGGGCAGGGAAGAAGTTTATGTCCCTCTGTCCCTCCATATCCTGGGAGAAGATGCACTGGAAAGGTGACTTTACTCACTAAAGTCCTTGCTGAAAAGCTCTGTGGGTTTGACAACACAGGCAGAATGTACACAACTCAGAAGACAAATACGAAAGATATTAAATTTCAAGACAGGAAGGGCTCGTTCAAACCCTTGGAAAAAGGTCCACCCTGTATAAGGCAACATTCAGCAGGTCCCTGAGCCCCAGAAAAGATGCTGTGGGGCTGGTAGAGGAGAGTCCTGAGAAGGCTTACCTACTGGGGCAGGCTTATCACATCTGCAAATACAGTTTCTTTTCAACTTTTCACTTACTGTGGTGTGTGTGTGTGTCTGTTTAGTGGCCATGTCCTTTGTTTTTCTGGAATGATTTCCGTAAGTCCTCATTCTTCCACTTAGCAGCTGTATGATTTGGGGCAAGTTTCTTTATCCATAAAGTAGAAGTACTAATGGTACATAGTTTTTGGCATTGTTGTGAACTGACTGAATGAGATAATGCATCTAAGGAGCGCAGAACGTGGTCCAAGACCAAGGTATTAGCTATTATTTCTATTACAGTTATTGTAAGTACATGTAAGCTGCTCTTTGAGCAGCTGCTGAAATTCCACCTTCTCTCAAAATACCCTCCGGTCACTTTAGTTGAACAAGCATTCACTGAGCGCTCAGTACATGCTGGGCACTGATAGGACACTGATAATACTGTAAGTAACATGTTGACCTTGCCCTTGGGTAGCTTACCTTCTAGTAGGGAAGACAAACCTGTAAGTAGATGATGTCAGGTTTTTATTTTTATTTATTTATTTTTTTTAGAGATAGAGCAGGCACATGAGAGGGAGGGGCAGAGGGAGAGAGAATCTTAAAATCTTAAGCATGCTCCATACCCAGTGCTGAACCCCATGGGGTTCAGGCTGAGATTAATGGCTAAAGAAAATGCAGTGCGTGTGTGTGCATTTTCAGATCGACGGGCTCGATCTCACAGCCCTGAGATGACCTGAGCCGAAATCAAGAGTCAGGCATTCAATGGACTGAGCCATCCAGGTGCCCCACATCCTTCCAGTCTAGGGCTGGCCTGTCCAATATAGTCACCACTGGCCACGTGTAGCTGCTGCGACTAAATTGAGATGTGTTCTCTATGTAAAATACACGTGGGATTTTTAAGACTTGGTTTGATAAGAGAATGTAAAATATCTAATAATAGCCAGTATAGTATTGATTACCTGTTGAAATTCTGGGTATACTGGGTTAAATAAAATATATTTTTTTATTGAAGTATAGTTGACACACGATCTTGCATTAATTTCAGGTGCACAACATAGTGGATTCAACAAGTCTGTGAATTACGCTGTGCTCACCACACATACAGCTTCCACCCGTCCCCATAGGATGCTCTCACAATACCACTGACTCCATTCCCTGTGCTGTACCTTTTATCCTTGTGACACAGTCACTCCGTAACTGGAAGCCGGTACCTCCCACGCCCCTGCACCCATTTTGCCCATCCCCCCACCACCCTGCCCTCTGGCAACCATCAGTTTGTTCCCTCTATTTATGGGACTGTTTCTGCTGTTTGTTTATTCCTTTCTTGTAGATTCCATATATAACTGAAATCATGGTATTTGTCTTTCTCTGACTTATTTCACTTAGCATAATACTCTCTAGGACCATCCATATTATTGCTATATAAACATACGCACGCATGCACGTGCACACCCACGCACTGCATTTTCTTTAGCCATTAATCTCAGTCGACACTTGGATTGCTTCCATAACTTGGCTATGGTAAATAATGCTGCAGTAAACACAGGGGTACTTATATCTTTTCAAATTATTGTTTTCTTTTTCTTTGGGTAAATACCCAGCAGTGGAATTACTCGATCATATGGTGTTTTTATTTTTAATTTTTTGAGGAACCTCCATACTGTTTTCCCCAGTGGCTGCACCAATTTACATCCCCTACAACAGTGCCCTAGTGTTCCTTTTTCTACCCGTCCTCACCAATACTTGCTATTTCTTGCCTTTTTGATTCTAGCCATTCTGACAGATACAAGGTGATGCCTCATTGTGGTTTTGATCTGCATTTCCCTGATGATGAGTGCTGTTGAGCATCTTTCCACGTGTCTGTTGGTCATCTATATGTCTTCTATGGAAATATGTCTCTTCGTATCTTCTGTCCATTTTTAATCAGATTATTTGTTTTTTTTTGGTGCTGAGTTGCGTAAGTTCTTATATTTTGGATATTAACCCTTATCAGATATATCATTTGCAAATAACTTCTCCCATTTAGTAGTTAGCCTTTCTGTTTTGTTAATGGTTTCCCTTACTCTACAAAAGCTTTTTATTTTGGTGTAGTCCCAATAGTTTTTGTTTTTGTTTCTCTTGCCTGAGGAGACATACCTAGAAAAATGTTGCGAAGACCAATGTCAAAAAGATGACTGCCTATATTTTCTTCTAGGAGTTTTATGGTCTCCAGTCTCACATTTAGGTCTTTAATGCATTTTGAGGTTTGTGTTTTGTTGGGGGATTTTTTTGTGTGATATAAGAAAGTGGTCCAGTTTCATTTTTTGCATGTAGCTGTCCAGTTTTCCCAACACCATTTATTGAAGAGACTGTCTTTTCCTCATTGTCTATTCTTGCCTCCTTTGTTGTAGATTAATTGACCCTATAATAGTGGGTGTATTTCTGGGCTCTTTATTCTGTTCCACTGATCTATGTGTCTGTTTTTGTGCCAGTACCATACTGTTTTAATACTAGAGCTTTATAGATCTTGAAATCTGGGATTGTGGTACCTCTTGGTTTGTTCTTCTTAAGATTGCTTTGGCTATTTGGGGTCTTTTGTGGTTCCATACAAATCTTAGTATTATTTGTTCTAGCTGTGTGAAAAATGCTGTTGGTATTTTGATAGGGATTGCACTGAATCTGTAGATTGCTTTGGGTAGTATGGACTACCCAAACCCATGAAGGTCAGTGATAGATAAATTGGTGTGAATGCAGTCATGTATACTCTCCTTGGACCCGATGAATGAGAACGTATCAAAAGCTCTCACCTTCCTCTAGGATTCTCATTCATTAGGTCTATACTCTAGGGAGCAATTTTAGGCTGCTGTCTACTCTTTAGGACTATGGGCAGAAGGGAATATTGGTTCTTCCCATCCATGAGCATGGAATATCTTTCCACTTGTTTGTGTCATCTTCAATTTTTTCATCAATGTTTTCTGATTTTCAGAGTATAGGTTTTTACTTCCTTGGTTAAATTTATTCCTAAGTATTTTATCTTGGTGTTGCAATTGTAAATGGAATTATTTTCTTAATTTCACTCTTTGCTACCTCCTTATTAGTGTATAGAAATGCAACTGATTTCTAGATATTTGTATCCTGCAACTTTATAGAATTCTTTTAATAGTTTCTTAGTGGCATCTTTAGGGTTTTCTATGTATAGTGTTATGTCATCTAGAAATAGTGATTGTTTAACTTCTTCCTTACCAAAAAAAAAAAAATTAATTTCACCTGTTTCCTTTTAATTTTTAAAAACTGTACTACTAGAAAACTTAAATTTATGTGGCTCCTATTTTATTTCTATTGGACAGCGCTGGTCTCCAGTGATACAGGGTGTCGTGGGAACCTAGAGGGGCAACATGTCATCCAACCTGGAGGTGAAGGAGTGCTGCCTGGAGGAGTGAATTCATCCCGAGCTGAGTCTTAAAGTTGGTGCAGATGTTATCCCGGTAAGGACACATCTTGAGGATATTCTGGATTGAGGTAACAGGAAAACCAGGGAAAGTGTGGTGTTGGGGAGGAGCCCTAAAAGGCTTCCATAACTTGGCTATGGTAAATAATGCTGCAGTAAACACAGGGGTATCCCCTGGTTGGTCCCCAGCCTAAGGTATTATGAGTTGGGGACTGGAAGATGATAAACATTTAACATCCAGTAGTCATTAAATGCCCTGGTTCTTGTCTTATGCATGAGGTCTGGTTATGCTTCCACTCTTTGAGGTTTTGGACTAACAGCTGTTGAAAGTTGGAAGTTTATGTCTCTACAAGAATAAGACCATCCTGGAAGATAGGACTAATGCATTCACATACACTGCTTGGAAGGCAGAATGCCATTTTCCCTTCTGCACATAGTCCTAGAGAGTGGACAGCAGCCTAAAATTGCTCCCTAGAGTATAGACCTAATGAATGAGAAACCTGGAGGAAGGTGAGAGCTTTTGATACGTTCTCATTCGTCAGGTCCAAGGAGAGTATACATGACTGCATTCACACCCGTTTATCACTGACTTTTAATGAGACTACTTCTCACCAATAAGGAATACAGTTGACCTTTGAACAGCACGGGTTTAAACTGCACTGGTCCACTTATGTGCAGATTTGTTTACAAGACAGTACTGTAAATGTATTTGCTCTTAACCTTTTAACATTTTCTCTAGCTTACCTTAAGGATACACTATATAATACATATAACATACAAAATATGTGTTGACTATGTTATCAGTCAGGCTTCCAGGCTATCAGTGAAGTCTTGGGGGAGTCAGAAATTATACATGGATTTCGACTGTGGAGAGTTGGGGCCCTTGACCCATTGTTCAAAGGCCAACTGTAGAATCATTTATCAGATGATATTAATCTGCTTCTCACTCTTTAATGTACACATGACTCATGCAGCAATCCTGTGAAGATGCCACTTCTAATCCATAGGTCTAAGGGTGGGAGCAACAATCTGTATTTTTATCCAGCTTCCGGGTAATGTCAGTGCTGCTGGTCCACGGACCTCAGTTTGAGTTGCAAGGTCTTCAGAGTCAGTTTAGTACAGTTCTTGCCATGGCAGCCGTCTACATTGCAACAGCCTGATAAGTCATTAGAAGCCTCTGAGGGCAGATCTATCATCTCCTTTATGCTTCGCCTCCTCCTCCTCTGTGGAGCGAGTCTAATTGTTGGAACAGTTTTTCTTGTCCCTAGATGCTATCTGGGAAATTTCTGTGCATTGGTCCTTGTTCTATTTTTGGAATCCCTGAGATAATGAACCTGATCTCTCTTTCTCATGACAGCCATGTGGAAATTTGAAGAGCATTTTCATATTTCTCTTAATTCTTCTTTTCAGTAGATTAAATCTCCTCCTCTCCTTTGGCTGTTAATCATAGGACCGTCTGGACTGTCCCGGGAATCTGTGCTTTAAGTGTACCTCTCCTAGTTGAGCACAGCATTCCAAGCTTTGTCTGAACATCAGAGAGTAAGATGGGCCTGTTACCTACTTGGCTGTTGATTCTGTACTTCTGCCAGAGTCCTCAGTCATCTTGGCATGTTGACTACTCTTTGGGTATCAGTGCTTCTGAGCCCCTTAGTGGACTGAGCTAGAGAAATGTATGTATGCTTATGTCCATGTGATTTTTCTTATTTGTCCAACAATCCATCCATCTATAGAAAATGCTGAGTTTATAGTGATACTTTTACTCCAGTTCAACTGCCTAGGTTTATTCCAGTTTTCTCGTTTTCCACGTTTTTAACTCCCTTCCCTAGGAGTAAAAAACCTGCCTTCTATGATCTTGAAGATAGTTACCTGTGTGATCAAACTCTTGGGTAAAACCAATCTTCCGTCCACCACCACTCCCCTCTCCGCATGCGTGCTATGTTCACGCCACTCAAGTTCCAACACACTCCCACTTCTTCTGGGACCCAGCTGATAGCTTTGGGGATAAATTATTTGGGAAGGGATGGGAAGGGGGATAGAATTAGGAGGAGGAGAAAGTTGTTTTTCTCTTTTGACTTCTAATTTATACTAACAGGTTTTCTAATATTGACTCATCGTTGGCCTTTCACATTGTGCCCTGCTTTGACTTTTCTACTCTTCCATTTAAGATTTCTTGGTAAATTAATTTATTTTGCTGACGTGAAAAGGCTTTGTAATGCTAGAAATTTTCTTAGACATTCCCTTAAATTCATCCTCTTTGATTTCTACAGGGGGAATACAAAGCTTTTCCTGGCTTCTGTGAATTTCTCCAGAGCCTTGCTTTTGGAAATGCTACCAGAATGATGGTGCAAATTACTAGTGGTGGAAATTACTGATAGGTCTCAAAAGCAAGGAATCAGAGACTATCTGCTTTCCAATGGTGATGTATAACTTTCACCAAAGCCACACCCATATTTATAATACCCTAATGAGTTTTTTTTCATAGAAACAGAACTAAGATTCCTAACATTTCCTGAAATTTAGGAAAAAAAAGGAAAGAAGAAAGAATTCCACTAGATGCCCATTTGTTAGCCCAACACTGGAAGGTATCAGCCTTAAAGAATAATCTGTGAGGGGGCGCCTGGGTGGCTCAGTTGGTTAAGCGACTGCCTTCGGCTCAGGTCACGATCCTGGAGTCCCAGGATCAAGTCCCGCATTGGGCTCCCTGCTCGGCAAGGAGTCTGCTTCTCCCTCTGACCCTCCCCCGTCTCATGCTCTCTCTCTCTATCTCATTCTCTCTCTCAAATAAATAAATAAATAAAATCTTTAAAAAAAAAAAAAGAATAATCTGTGAGTAAATCAATACCAATACAACTATCCTTCATCTCTTCATATCTAGCCTGCCCCCAAATATTTTCTTGGAACGCACAAGAAGGTTAATTGAAAAGATAAATCTGCTCTGGAAAGCATTTGCATTTTAAAGAGAGATGGAATTTGGGGAAGTGCCATGTAGACATTTATCATTCTACAAATCATGATTATTATCAGTGACTCAAAACCTGGAGCAGGTTATGATGGTTAAATAATGTCCGTAGTTTTGCTCTTTGGGAAAGCCTTTGTCCCCCACCTGATCATTACCACATTGCCTTGGGTCTTTTAGGCCTAAAGCACATATGTTGCTTATATTTAATTTTGGAGGCAACCATTTTGCAGATATGATCTCCTTCCTCTGACAGATAAGGCCTGGATTGCTCTCCTTTTTATATTTCATTATTCACACTTTCTTCCCCATCTCCCACCAACCCTCCCACCATTTCTATTTAAGGAAGATATCTATTATGTATGTAGATTTCTCCAAAAAGATCTACCTATCCCACATGTGCACGCACACACATACCCACAGTACGTGTGCACTTCTCTGTACTTTCTAATTTTTTTTTTCTTGACTAGGTCACTCCTAAAAAAAAATCTGAGTATGACAAAAGCTGGCAACAGAGATAAGAAGGATGATACTTTTTGATTGTGAGGTTTGACTTAATCTTCACCATGATAAGTTGACTGTTGGGGAACTGTGCCTCCCTGTGAATTGCACACTTCAGCTGGGTCACTGGCTCTGGCCACCCAGAGAGAGAGTAATTATCCAAATAAGGAAATGCCTGAAAACAAAGAATAAATAGAAGTTGCATTTTAGAAGCATGCTCGTTCACAAAACTGGTAGGTCCCATTCATTTTAGAAGTGCCTCAGCTGGAATACTGTCTGAGCCTGTGATTAGAACATTCATTCATTCATTCAACATTTATTGAGAGCCTTCCAAGTGCTGGACACTGGCCCAGGTGCTGGAGAGGTATTAATAAGCAAAGAGAAATATGGTCCCTGATGGTAAATTTAACAACTGGTTTTCCCTGAAGCAAAAGCTCTGATTTTTCATACTTGCCAATGTAAATATGAAAAATCAGAACTAAAATATTCCCACCACAGCCACTGTCAAGCTACCCATGTTCCTCATTGCCTGGCACATAGAAACTGGCAAACATCATCATATCGTGATCATAATTAGCATCATTAGTCTTGATTTAACAACATAATAATAAGAAATTCATGACCTACCCGGGGAAAGTCTTTAGATGGGCCAAGGGTATGTGTGTGGAGAAGGGTCTGAAAGATGCACATTGGATTTGGTATGATAACCTCAGAAAGATGTAGGATGTTCCTTTTCCTTTTCTTTTTTACTGAAAAAATCTGTAAAATGTGAATTTTAATGAGTATGTATTTTTTAACTTTTAAAGAAAGAATTTACAGTGTCCAAGTGGAACGAGCACAGATTTCACCTGATGTGGGCCCAATTGTGACCAAATGCATAGTGGATATAAGGCAGTTGTTATGAGATTCATTGCTAAATGATTGTTAAATTGTTTTCCTGGTGAAAAGTGACAAAGTATTGACAGAAGGTAAGTATTCCAATTGCTGTAGAACACATCACCCAAAACAGTAGCTTAAGACAATGATCATGTTTATTTTGCTCACAGGTTTGCAATTTTGATGGAGCATGGTGGGGACATTGTGTCCCTTCTACTTGGCATCAGGTGGGGTGAAGAAATAGAATTGGAAGACTGAAGAGTAGAAGCATCTGAAGGGGCACTCATGTGTTGGCAGTAGATGCTGGCTGTGGGCTGGGACCTCCATGTGGCCCCGCCACATGGCTGCTTGTCTCCCAAAGGTGAGTGTCCCAAAAGAGAGCCAGGTTCAAGCTTTTATGCCCTAAACTTGGAAGTCACACATCTTTTCTCCAAGTTCTTAAGGTAGTCACAAAGCATCACCCAGGTCCAAGAAGAAAATTAGACTCTACCTCTCTTGGTTGGCAAGTTCTGCAAGAATGTAGGAACTGGAATATCAATGTGGCCAGTTTTGGAAAAGACAACCTGCTCCAAGAAATTCTCTCCCTTTTGATGTTATCTGCACCCCATATCTGCAGAGAAAACATGGAAAGTCTCAGTTGCCCTGTTGAATGTGAGTATTGCAGCTTCGTTCCAAAAGTAATGCGTTGTAAAAGTTGTAAATTCTTATGTGGGAAACCCAGCAAACGTTAGCATTGTATTTCCCATGCCTAGCAAGCCATGGTTTTTAAATTAATTTCCATGTGGACTGTCAAATTTATCTTAACGGCAAAGCAAATGGACTCATTACAAAGATGGGGGGAGTCTACCTTTGTTTCGATGGACTCTGAGTTTGTACTTTTGTCTCTAAGCTTACTTCTCAAATGCAAACAAAGAGCACAGAAAGGAGATTCATGAAAATGAATGTTTTTCAAAGGAATTTCAGATATTCCGCTTAATGCATATAGGTGTCCTTCTTATTACCTGCCAGCCACAGGATATACAAGGCTATGTTGAACTTGATGTGGTGGTTGAGAGTCCAGTGCATTCCTCCTCTTATTTCCTTATTAGGGTTTGAGTCAGTTCATTCATTTGTATCCACAACGTCCCTTAGTTCCCACTGGAGCATGCATAAATAGAACATATTAACAGGAGACTAATCACCAGATATGTATGGATTACCCGTAGAGTAGCAGAGAATTGTCAGAAAATATCCAACTAATGCAGTCTAACAGATTGGAATCTTACCCGATGGTATGAATTGGTAGCCCCAAACCAGTTGTAAATGAGATATGCAGGGATTCTCATTTTTAGAGCTATTATTACTGGAAGTTTATATTTCTTTGAACATATCCAAGTTGTTTCCTTATTGAAGATGAGGTCATTGTATAGCAGAGGTCTCAAAAACCAAGCTCTTTTGGCAATGGACGTGTAAAACAAACAAAATGATTATTCATGGTTGGATAAATCAAATTGAATTTGAACAAAGTTCTGTCCCCAAATATTTTCTTGTTCAGGCTGAAGACAACCATGAGACATTTAAGACAATATATTGTTTTTCAGAAATTTGTTGAAATTTTGAGCAGTCCTTTTTCTCCCATAACTACAATGCCAAAAGAGCAAAATGAGTAAACTGACTGCCAGTATTGTCCCTGCTTCAGTGGAATTCAAATATTGTGTGTCCAGATATTTCTGTTCCTTGACGTATACTTGTAAGGAATACTTGCTGATAGTTAGCCTGGTGGTTCTTCATTTCACCTAGGACAACTTTTATACAACTAATTAGTTCTTGGGGCTCACTTCCCAAAGACACAGGCCAAGATGAGGCCAAGGAATGTATATTCTTTAGGAGTTCCCCTTATGATCCTGGGAATCAGCCCAGCCTTGGGAACAACTGACCTAGAGCATTTGCTAACTCCTAAAATTTTTGTGAAGGAGTTTTGCCTTGATAGAAGTTTCTGTGGCTCAGGACAAAATGGTGTTATAATTCCATTTCTGTCCTTGGTAAACAAACATTTTACAGTAGAAACTCAGGTTTACACTAAACTTTTTTATATTGACTCACTTTGTAGTAGAAGCTAGAACTTTGAAAAAGAGGTAGGAAAAAGAATTCTAGTTCATTTCCCTCTTGAGCTTTGTTTTTGGACTGAAATTTTTGTATATTTAAATGTTGGATGTAATGATGGTAATGATTGTCATTATTTGCTCAATTTTTTTAGATATCCCAGGTCCCTCCAGCTAGAACTCATGAAATAAACAATTTCAAACTAAAGTGGCAATTACTGGATAGAGCCACAAAGAATAAATAAGTTTTCCAGGGCGCCTGGGTGACTCGGTTGGGCATCTGCCTTCAGCTCAGGTCATGATATCAGGGTCCTGGGATTGAGCCCCACATTCGGGCTCCCTGCTCAGCGGGGAGTCTGCTGCTCTCTCTGCCTCTCCCTGGCTTGTACATGTTCTCCCACAAATAAATAAATGAAATCTTAAAAAAAAAAAAAGTTTCCACAGGTAGAAGAGTAGATAAAAGATATTTCCAGGTAGAGGGAACATAATAAAGGCACAGATGCTTGAAGATGCCTGGCCTACTCAAGGATGGGTGAATAGCTCAGTGTAGCCAGGATCCAATATATATATGGGAGATATCTATGGCTTGAAATATTCGGTCCTCGGTGATGGAAGCAAAGAATTCTCTCTTAAGTTCTGTCTCCAATTGCCTGGCATGGCTTTTTGAAGAAATATTCTGAGGCTGCATCTGGCTCTGGGACTGATTAGGGCTCAGAAGAAGGGGCAACAGTACCCAGGCCACATCTTTTCTCTTTCACACCCTCTCTTAGTTTGGCATATATATATATATATATATTCAATGTCTTTGTCCTGCACTTGATTCTCCTTGGGCTATCTTTGACAAGGGAGTTTTGCTTTTGGTTGCCATTTTTACCCTATTGGTGAGTACTGGGGCAGGACTCTGCTGGAACCGATGGAAGTGGTAAGAGCCAGGTGAAATACAACCCTATGTTCACTTCTTGAGTTTCTGAATCAGTGATCCAGTCAAAGGAATGGCTATTAATCTGATTGGCTGTATGGATTTCCATTTAAAAGTTGTTGGGGCACAGGCCTATTTTTTTTCCAGAAGAAAAAGAGATAAAGTAGAAATTAGATCCTACTTCAATGTTGACCAAGAAAGTTTGCACTGTCAAAGCACCTGCATTATTATATATGTAACTTTTGATTGGTGAATAATTTTTCAATTTAGTTTTTCCAGAAACCAATCCAAATACATGCTTCTAAGAAATTTAAAAATGTGTATTTACCTGCTCAAAACTGTAATTTATGTGAAACCCCTTTTTGTTGTTCCCATTTTTAATTATACCTAATAATCTCATTGGGACAAAATATATATAGGCTTTCCATTAGTATCACTTGAAGATTTTATATTTAATTGGCATGTTTTTTTCAATTCTAGCACTTTCTTGGGCGGCACATTTTAGCACTTTAAAATCAGGAAGTGTACATTGTCATGTCTATAACCATCTCCCATAGCATTTCCTGTCCATTCCAACTCTCACCTCCCATTCCCTCTCCCTGCTCCTAGTTATTAATTCTATGCTGCTTCTTGACCATTTTAGAATTGGGAAAACAGGGAAAGTGCATGCACGGAGGATGGATGATGCTTTCTGGTGTTGCAAGAATGAGAGAATAAGAGCGTGATAACTAAGATAGAAGATGTGTCCCTCTTCCTCTTCGTTTTGAAGGTGGCTCCGTGGAAGCTGGAAGTTTGACATGACTCTTCCCCAGTGTCTTAAGGTACCCGATATATCTTTCATGTTCCTTTAAATACTTTATCCAACATTTTAAAATTATTTTGGTTTAGTAAGGTAATAATGTAAACTGGTTATTGGTGCTGGAGTGAACAATTTTACTTCTACCTAGAGATTAAGTTAAAAACCCTAGAATATCAATCTACAGGGAATGTTAAAGGTTTTCCAGTTCAGCCAAGGCTTTGGGAATGGGGCCTTGTCCTCGAAGAACCTTCTCCTTGCTTTAGGTCTACAGGTTGAGGTTGGTCATTCCCTCATGGTGATGCTTATGGCAAGTTCTTAAACACTTCCTGCCCAATTATTTTGATCTTAAAATAGCAGTCTTCAAGCCAACCTAAATCTTCTAGTTGCCGCACACAGATAAGTTGTGTAAGGCTCAGCAAAGCACCAGAGATATTTGGGGGTCAGACTGCAGTTCAAGCCTCAGTACCAGCACCTTTTAGATTTGTGACCTGTCCCGTTACTCAACACCTCTGAACCTTATTCATTTATTCAAGCCATGCAGAAAATAATCACTGTAAATGAGGTTTACACATTTAGAATGTGTCAGCACTAGCCTGGATGCTGGGCATATAGTGCTAAACAGACATAGTTCCTGCTCCCAAAGAACCCTGCTCATGAGAATATACAAGGAAGAGTTGTATTTACAATCCAGAAGCTAAGTTCTCCAATAGGGAGAGCCCAGGTAATGGGGTACACTGGATAGATAAATCTTTTGGAGAAAATACTTCAAAGCTGAGACAATGAGTGCCTTAACTTTCTTCCCTGCAAAATGGGGACACACCTACCTTGCTGGGTTATAGTGAGGAAACAGACAATGAGTATAACCTCCCAAAGCTGTGCCCAACAGTTCGTTATTGGGCCAGAAAACATATATTGAGTAGTGACTGTCCTAAGCACTGGGGATTCAAAAATGAGTAGGGGGCTGTCCCCATCCTCATGGGTCTCACAGGCTAGACGTTGAGCCCTAGCTCCCGAGGCTGCACTATTACTGCTCTCATCCCACTTACCTATTCAAGTGTCTCAATCTCAAGAGCACCAGCTTAGGAATGCTTCTCTATTGTCCACTGTTGCACGTTCAGTGCTTAGCAGTTCCTAGTGGACCTTTGCTACTCACCCTGCACCCTGCCTTATCTTCTCTCTCTTACCTCTCCAGCTCCCACCTGTCCAACTTGCAACAGTCCACTCCTGCCTTTATTTGCCTGAAGGTCTGCTCTGTCTGGCATGGGCCACTCGGGCCACACCTATGCGGGGGAGCTTCAGAGCGATGGGGAATTAAGTCCCACCCCAGCTGCTCCACGTCCTTCACACTCTGAGGAATTATTTCTAGTTACCCCATGGCGATAACTCAATTGATAATTCACCCTCCATTGGCTGTTTTGCCTTCCTGATCTTACTTGCCCCACTTCTTCACCACTGATGTCAGGGGTTCCCCCCAACTCCCAAATAAACCACTTACATTTGAATCCTTGTCTAAATGGCTGTCCAAACTAAATTGTCCACTCAGCACCCAAATCCTTATCTTGTATTTAAATTATCCTGCTGCCTGTAAAGAGCCCCTCTCTCACGATGGGAACTGGAAAGGTCAGGTACACTTTCAGCCCCAGGTGGGTACATGACCTGGTCTGTGCTCATCAGATACACCCACTCCACTCCCTTCAATTGGAAGCTCCTGGCATGACGAAGGAAATGCCCAGAATGGATTCTGTTGCCAGATGGTAGCAGAGACAACAATTTGAATGCGAGTGTCCAGCATCCAGTGTTGGTGGAACTATGGTGTGTACACCGCCCCCCCCCCCCCCCCATGCATAGAGCCTGGCTTCACTGAACAGTTCTAATGGGATATTTTTGAGCATTGCTCTTTCCCTTGTTGTACTCTCAGAGCCTCTCCTCCTTTTGTCCTTTCAGAGATTCTTTGATCTCCCCACTAATTCCTTTCCTGCCAACATGTCAGGTTTGGTTCCTATAACTTGTACCTAAGAAGATAGAGCCAGGAAAACAGTCCTCTACCTTTTCCAAGCCAATGGGATTTAATACAGAAGGGTATAGAAAAGCTGGAAAGCCATACAGGAAGCAATGAGGTAACCCACAGATCACTAACACCTGGAAGCTGCCATCACCCTAAGGAGGGACAGTAGAGGAAGGGAGCGCATTGTCTGGCAGGAGCTAGAACCACATTAGGGGGGCTGCCTGGAGAGGTCACCAGTTGGGGTCCAGGACCCGAAGTTCCCCAGGAAATGCGGGAGAGAGAATGGAAGCAGCATCTGGTTTTTCCTTCTCCCCCCTCCAATTTTACATTATACCACCCGTAAATTGAAAGTAACCAGACGCTAGAGGGCAAGGGAGCCTAAAATGTAGAGCAGAACAGGGAAAGAGCCAGAAATAGACCTGGATGCCAACAGGCAGTTGACATGCACAAGTAATGGGAGCTCCCATAATTTTTGGCTGAATGAACAAAGAGAATAACCAAGGAGGGAGCTGGGACCAGAACCTTGTGTTACACCAACTCTTAAAGGATGGGGGAATTAGATTGCCCCTAAGGAGACGCAGTCAGAGAGCTAGGAGGAAACCGAGGCAGGAATAGTGTCCTGTATGGAACAGCTCTGCCATCCTATCTGCCAGACTCCTAACTGGATTTCCACCAAATAAACCTCTGAATTATTCATTGAGTCTAGACAGGAGACTCAGAGTGCTTATCCATGAGCTTTGGGTATCATCGCTTCTAATCCAGGCTATTCCCTGGGTAACTGGAGTTATTAAGTGAGGATAACAGTGCTTGCCAACTTTCACCGGGCAAGGTGAGAAGCAATGCATAATGGAGATTTTTAAATACTTGGCAAGATAGAGAAACATGTCACAGCAGGAGCCTTAATTGATAAATAGAGATAAGTGCATTCACTCTCACAGTTGGAAATTACAGGACTGTCTTACATGACTTCCATGAATAGATGGATTGCAACATCTTTGTGAGCGGCAGCGCAGAAGAGAAAACAAAGCTCTGTGCTTGGATTTATGAGAGGGAACATGGTATAATGGAAAGAGCATCAATTTCAGATTCAGGGGAACCTCATTTTAATCTCATCTCTACTGCTCATTAGCCTTGTGATTTTAGACATTTTCAACTGCACTCCAGTCTCTTCATGTTTAAAACTGATTCTGTGCTGGGCATCGTGCTGGAATAGTAACTTGCCCACATAAGGGGCAATTCATAAGTATTTGTTTCCATCCTCAATCTCTCTTTTTTTTTTTTTTTTTTTAACCATAGCACTAGCCTCTAGGAAAGAAAAGGTGAGAAAGTAAACTAAAATTCTTTCTACAAAAAATGGCTGGCATGCATCAGTTTTATAGGGAAATGCTTGAAGGAATTAAAAACCAAATCTCAGACCTCCTGCATATTGTTGAAAGTGCCAAAATCCATGGGTATTATACATCCAAGGCTGCTTACTCAGAATTTCAGATGGTCTAAAAAAAAAAATTATCTGTACGGATTTTGTTTCTTAAAAAAATCCTTACTTCCTGAGGATGCCATAAAATGTGTGTTCACATATTTTGAGTGGGATTTCATTCTCAGGGGGTGCCTTGGTGTTTCTATGACCCAAGCAAGGGCTCCTTACCCCTTTATCACGTGGTTTCTTCTTGACACAGCTGGAAATATGATTGCGTCAAGGCCCATCACAAAGAAGCAGGGCCTCTGCTATGGGTCAGCAGCACCAAGAAGTGTTGCCAAGATACAATACGTAACACAAGACCCCCCAGGTCTCCCTCTGGGTTTCTGGAGCAGCAGTCTTTGGCTCAGCTGTAGAAATTTCAGTTTGGTCATTGAAATCCAAACACACCTGTCCTCCAGACAGGAAAATGCCTAATAAAGGGAATTCCTCCGTGCTGGCTAGTCTTGCGGTTTTATTCAACCCTTAAAGACAGTGTGGGGGCTGAGTACCACAAAGCAGCCTAGCCAGGGATGGAAGGAAGCCCCTGGGATGGTCACTGAGATAGAAAAGTACCAGCCAGCTTGGATACCTGGGGGCTGCAATTAGGGCACTCAGAGCTTGCCTTGGCTTTGAAACATCAGATGGAGCTCAGACAAAATCAGGTCTCACTTAAACTTTATCCTTGTGTGGACAACCTGTATGCCTTCTCGCTCATTCTGCAGGCTGTTCTTTGGCACAGTGCCTTTTATCTATTTAATTTCAGAGCATGACAGGGATATTTATCCCTATGTCAGTCATATGCCTTTAAATATCATTTGTCATGACTTTTAGAAAATAAGATTTCTAAAAAAAAAAAAAAGAAAAGAAGATTTCTAACCAAAATTTATTACTATTTTTTTTAAAGGAGGGGCTGTAGGATCAAGCCAAACTTAACCCAGGTCCTAGGCAGTGGAGATCAAAAAGAAAAAGGGTAAGTTGCCTCAGCAGGCCCCTTACCAGATAGAAAAAAAAGGCTTTTCCAGGGTGAGAGACTCATGTCCTGGGACTGTGGAATGAAATGCTCGCAGAGGGTAGCTTTTCTCTTGGATTGTTCCCCAACAGTGCAAACTCATAGTGTTTAGTGCCATGGACCCTAACCTTGAGGCCCCTGTCAGAAACTATAAAACCACCTGGTCCTTCTGTGTTTCCTTTTAAAAAAATTTTTAAAAATTTATTCATTTATGGTACCAAATGGCCATAGTTAATCACATCCTGTGCTTTGAGGAGTAATGTAGACGTATTTAGCCCTTCATTTTAATATTTATTTCCATAGTCTAAATAGAATGCTACCTCTGTTCACATTCTATTATGGTACATAAAGTTATGTCTTGTATATCTGTTTACCATTCCTCCATCCAATACAATATTTGTATTATATGACAATGGAATAGTCACTGTTGAGCCAAGGACCCTATTACCATGTTTCCCTTCTTGTCCAGTTATTGCTTTCGGTAGAGCTGAGAATTTGTTTTTGTTTTTGTTTTTTTAAAGATTTTTTTAATTTATTTATTTGACAGAGACAGAGATAGTGAGAGCAGGAACACAAGCAGCGGGAGTGGGAGAGGGAGAAGCAGGCTTCCCGCCAAGGAGGGAGCCCGATGCGGGATTCGATCCCAGGACCCTGGGATCATGAACTGAGCCGAAGGCAGACGCTTAACGACTGAACCACCCAGGCGCCCTGGTCTCTTTTTTTTAAAAAAAAAAATGCCTTTAGTTTTCTCCATACATGGTAAGTCTTTCCAGTGCCTCCAGAAGCGTAATATTCAAGGCACTGTTTTTTGTTTTTTTAACACATTAAGTATAGTAACTGACTTATTTTTCACAGGAACTCAGTGAGGTATGTACATTATGATCCATCTCATAATTGGGAAATGTGAAGCATGGAGGGTAATTGACTAGCATGGTGGGGTCCTAAATGGCAGGGTCAGTACTTGAAGAAGGGCCGCTGGGCTCCTGCAGCTCCTCTCCCAAGCAACACAGCCCTTGATGTAAAAATCTACCAGATAATTCCTTGGAAACTTTCTGGAAAGCTTTTTCTGCTGTATGTCCCCGGTCATCTGGTTTCGCCTGGATTGCGTGCTTTCTACCCCTACGCCCACTGGTCATACTCCTCCAGGGGATTTCCTTCTCTCCCTCCGGGGTGGATTCCTGGTTTTCTGGATAGCATTCCTTCTTTCTTGGTTTACCTTAGAGCTTTGTGGGGAGCCATCCTTTAGAAGGCTTCTCAGACTGTTTAGGTCTTAAGTATAAAAAAAAAAAAAAAAAAAAATTTGCATTCTGTCTAGATAGCACTGGGTACAGCGCTCATGGCCATTCTTACTCTCGATCATTTGTGTGTGAACTGTTTTTTCCCGTTATTGAAACTTAAAATGGTGGTGGGTCTTCTCTCATGCATGGTGCTCAGGAGGCCTTTTCAGCCTGGACATACATGTACTTCAGGCCCAAAAAATGTCCTTGTAATATTTCTCTTGACATTTTTCTCTTCCAAACCCTATTTTGTAGGGTATTGGGCCTTCTGGATTCCTCTATAATTTTAGCTCTTCTATTTACATTTATAAGAACCCTTTCTTATCTTAATAATAATGTCTGCTTAATAGCATCCTGACCTTGTTTGCAGAATAAATAGCTTATCTCTCTGAGGTCATTAACTACAGTTTAATCAAACTTTTCTTCTGAGTTTCCTTTCTTCCTTTTATGTTAGAGGCTTTCTTCAAATGTCAAGTAATCCTCAGCTTTAAGATTTTAACAGTTGGGTGAATAAACGCTGCTTGGAAGATCTGTGTGAAGTTTCTAAATGTCCATACAGGTTTTTATTTAAGCACATGAGGTATTTATTTGTGTAGCATTATATTGAAATTCAGTGTTAGATGTGGGCGTTCCTAAAAACCCTTCTGCTATTTCTGCAACTCGGACTCCACCTCCCTGCCATGTGGCTTAGCACTGTCTTCTCCTTTTCTTTCCCCACTACTAAATTCTTAGACATTTTAATGTAGAGCAGTTTGGTTGATGCTGACCCATGTTCTCCGAGTGTTCCTTCTACCCCTAATCAGCTTTACAGTTTTCCTAAATGAAGATAGTTCTATCAAAAAGAATTACTATTCAATTTGTGCCACAAACCCAAACATCAATGATGGAGTGAAAAACTCTAATACTTCTATGTTACATATAATTCTTATTTCCTTATAGTGTGTAATAATTAATTACATTTAGATCCATTCCACTTATTAAGATTACATTTATCTTGAAGTACATTAATCTCCTTGTTGCAGTGACTCTGATTAAAACTGCATGTTTGTTTATCTTCCTGATGAGTGTCCTTCAGATTTCATATGTATTGGAAGTCCTGTCTATTGCCTTTCAATGGAACTCTCTAGACCTCTTGGCAAACTTATGGTTAAGGGCTCCTTCCCAAGCCCTTAAGTGCTGTAGAAACATAATCGTTGTAGATACCTGGATGCTTAAACATGATTTCTTTTACATGGAATCAAATTCTTTATTTCCTGGCCTTACCTTGGGTTGTTTTCTGCTTCTTGAAGCTTCCCTAGATACCACATTCTTCTGATTTCGTTTCTATCTCCCATCACACTCTTTCCATTCTCCCTTGGTCCGTGTACTCAACTTGACCTCTGATGTAAGACTGCTTTGGGATCCTATACTCACCCCTTCTCTCCTCTACTAAATCTCTTTAGGGGATTCCATCCAGCCCATAGTTTTATGCTGATCACCCCCAGATATTTATCATTAACTATGTTGTATCCCTAGGACTCCTGACTCTAGTTGCCGGCTTAACATTTTCACATGCTTGCCATGACCAATACAGAACTTTTGAGCCACAGCTATCTGCCCACACACTAACTACCCCTTATATTCCTCTTTCTTCCCATTTTGGAAAATGGCGCCAACATCCAGCCACTTGTTCAAGCTGCAAATCTGACAGTTGTCCTCGAGCCTTCTCTTTCACTCAACTCACAAAAGCCATTTATCTACACACTATTGATTCTACTCCAGCAAACACCTTGAATCTGTCCAGTTCTATGCATTTCTGTGATTCTAGCCTTAGACAAAGACATCATATTTCTTCTGAACTACCACACTGGCTTCTTACCTGGCATTTTGCATCCAGTCTTGCACATAGTAATGACAGTAAACTTGTTTGAACCATGAAGTAGATCAGATCATAAATTGGTTTAAAATCTTTCAAAAGTCTCTATGACTAAAACACCATCCGTGCTCCGGCTGGTTCCTCACAACTCCAAGCTCATTCCCTCTCTAGAGTCTTCACACTAGCTCTTCTGCCTCGAATGAGTTTCTCTGTGATTCACACATGGCTCAGTCTTTCCTGTATTCTCATCTAAAATGTCACCTCCTCAGAGAATCCTTCCCTGGGCACCCACCTAGGGTACTCACTCATCTTTCCCATCAGCCTATTTTAATTCTGTGGATAACACTTACCACTATCTCCTATATTTTATATGTTATTGTCTGTTTATTGCCCCTGCCAGAATGTAAATTCCTTGAGAGCAATGACCTTATCAATCTCATTCAACTTAGATGGATTAAAGGCACTTTAGAAGTGAGAAAACCAGAGAGAAGAGCAACTTGCCACAGATCACGTAGATAGCAGGCTATTTGGCCTATTGCTTTAAATGTGTTCATTATCTTAATGACCTCTACTACATCCCATAGCTACTATTTTTAATTATACTGTTGGTTCCACCACTTTGAGCAGTTTTTTCTTATTCTAGGGTTTTACCTTCCCAGCATGATCCCACTTGAGGGTTCTATGCCCAGAAGCCAACTATGTGTTCTGTCACTGGTCATCTTTATCCTGAGCTTCTTGAAGCTTCCTAAACAAGCTTGGTTTATGAACTTTGAGAACTTTCTTTTCAGCTATTCTTTCCCGTTGAGCCACTAGAAACCCACCTTTTTGCCAAACCAGATACTTAATAGTGTTCATGCATGGGGTAGAATTGTCAATCCACAGGGTAATCATGGTTTGGTGGAAGGAGCTTTGCCTGGGGAAACTGGGCTTTTCATCTATTTCTGTTACCCAGGAGCTATCGGATCTTAAGTAAGCCCTTAACACTCTAAGCTTCAATTTCGTTGCCTGCCCAGCTCTGCCATGAGCAGAGGAAAATTAAAACAACAATCCAGGGCGCCTGGGTGGCTCAGTTGGTTATGCGACTGCCTTCGGCTCAGGTCATGATCCCGGGGTCCTGGGATCGAGTCCCACATCGGGCTCCCTGCTCAGCAGGGGGTCTGCTTCTCCCTCTGCCCTCTTCCCTCTCGTGCTCTCTGTCTCTCATTCTCTCTCTCTCAAATAAATAAATAAAAAATCTTTAAAAAAAAAAATAAAACAACAATCCACTCTCACTCTCTCCCACCCATCTATTTGGAATAATACATATGAAAATTCACTTCACAGGGATTAAGTGAATTCATAAATAATCCAGTTAGCTGGATTAAATGAACTCATGAATATAAAAACATTTTGCTGATTGTAAAATGTACTACAGATGTAGGGGATTAAATGTAAGGGATTGCTCACAGGAATCAGTTCCTAATGCATTAAATATATGGCCATCAGTGAATATGATTGTTTAAAATCCTGGTTAAAAGCCAAACTTTCAGAACAACAGTCTTCCTATCCTGTATGCTTTTGAATAATGATTTTTCTTAATGAAAGTGTTGTGTACACAGTAACCAATCCAAATGGTATAAAATGAAAACTGAAAGTTCGCTCTCTCCTCAAACCTCACAAGTGTCATGCCCAGACCCAAGCAGTTAACCTCAGCTTGCTATTTTGAGTTATTAACAATAATACTTACCATAATAGCTTAGTACTTGACAATGAGTCTGACATTATTATAAGCCCTTTATAGATTAACTCATTTTGATGCTCACAATAACCCTAGGGTTCAAGTATTACTG